TGTTGTAGAGTGCACAGGTGCCAATGCAATTAATTAATGATAGGTTTTTGTGAACCCCACAGTTCTGGAGTTATTCTGACATTAGAGGTAAAGGGTGTGAGTACAATTTCTCCAGTGGCTCTGGCTTGAAGTTGAGTTGAGTTTTAACACACTCATGCCAAGCACAACCATCCTGATTCATTATTATCAGTAGAAAAAAACACTTACATAGATAGTTTCAATACAAAATATGTTTTCTGCCATTGATGTGATCTTCTGGTGAAAATACTTGCATCCCACTAATAAAGTAGCTGACCAAATACAGAGGTCTAGCAGTTGAGTAGGCAATACCATCCAAAACTTAATGTTTAAGGGTAAAACAGTTACTTTGGGACCAATATAAATGTCTAAAAAGAAACTACCAATATTCATTTTATATCTGTATTATGGCTACAAATAATATTGCTATATCTATTGAAAATTCAAATTTTGGTAACTTAAACCTTAAAATAAAACAGTAGAATTTAAAGCCCTCACAAGGCACAAAGCACTATAGGAGGAAGGAAACTTATCTGGGAAGTGACTGGTAAAATCAACTACTAAAACCATGTCCATCAGCTGTCTGTATGGATTTGATCTAAAGTGCAAATCAAATGGAAGGGTCAGAAAAAGGAAAAGCAAAGACATTTTAGTGTGTAAACACAATGCACTCTGATCACTCTGGGACACGCTCTTTTAACAGTCACTGGGCTTCAGTGCATTAGTACAAAGTAAAGTGCAGAGCTGGTGGTTGGCTGTGAGATTTTCTGATCTAAAAGATCTGTTGGGATCTGCCTATCTATCCAGACAATTTGCCCTGAGTTCCAGTTCCTAAGTGCCTATTAAGCCGTGTTCCTTCTTGTGTGAGAAAGGGAAAAAGAAAGCAAGAGCTAAAGTTGAACACAGATATTAAGTTCCAATTCAAAAAACAGTTACTGAGCGCTGTGTTATCAGTGCAGAACGGCCAACGCCAGCTGCTGCCTGTAAAGAGCCCACTTAACTAAATCACAACCCAGTATAATGCTTGAATATGTGTAACGGGCACTAAAAAGCCTGGTGTTGTTCATGCTTGGAAGCTCGGCATCGAGGCAGGACATATGCTGATATAAAGATTATAAGATTATTTTTTCTACTCAACAACATATGATATGCATATTAAGAAAAACAAAGTCACTGTGAAGCTGGAAGGCCTGACCACGTAGTTATGGCAGGTGATGAAACAGCTGCCTGGCTATCTTATCTAGCAACCACTGCCGCCAGCAGACACAGAGATGGGAAAACCAAATCTGGTAACCCAGACCAGCAAGCTCCCTCACCCACACAAAAAGTGTAAACGGATGGAGTAATTTAAAGAAAATGGAACAGACCACAGTCACGAGACACACTGCACGCAGCTCCAGCACCTAAGACACTTGCTGGCCTCTCCAAGCTCTGCCTCCTTCCACGCTGTGTGAGTGGCAGGGGTCCATGTCAGAGTCAGGGAAAGCACCACAGTGAGAGCTCTGTAAGCGGCGGTTACTGTTACTTCATCTGACAGCTGCAGATAGAACCTCCTATGGAAAAGGGCACCGGTATGTGACAGGGGGGTGGGGTAGAGAGAGCTCATCAAACTGCTCCGTAGCTTGACTATGGCAATGACTAGGAGATTCCATGCATTTGCCACAGCTCATAAAATTGACACTAACTGTGAACACAACCATAGCACCCTTTTGAATGCAAAGTATTTAACTGGCTCTCATCAAAACAAACCACCAAAATTAATATAGGCATTTTGATACATTGATTTCTAAAATAAATCTAAAGTCCCAAATACAATTTCATATTTTAATTAATGAATAAGCTATGTACTTAAAAAAACAAGTGGCCATCTGAACAATTAACTGGATTATCTATTTGGAAACAGATAGTGTGACTAAGTGAATTAGGAAAAGAGAAAATGAAAGTGGCGTGGTCATTTATTAGATTACTAAAGACGACAGGCACAACTTCTTCCATTAAAATCCAGTAAATGACTCTGGAGATAATCTCAAGAACACACTGTTGTTTTCAGTAAGTTACAGAAAGCTAGAAATATCTGCCAGTACTTTCCACAACTTCCGCATGGTTTCAGAGTATCTGTAAAAGATGTTATGATTTCCATCAAGACTGCTACCGTAACTGAGGAGCTCTTTTATGTAGAACCCTGTCTGGGGACAGGGGAACATCTATCTGGGGAGAAAAAAAAAACATTTGACAACAATTTCTTCCTCATTGCTATTTATAAAACAGATGAAACACCCAAGAAATTGTTTTAAATAAGAAGTAGACTTCTGGTCAGCTTACAGTGTTTCTGAACATGCCGATCATGTTAGTGTTGGAGACGTCCCTTACCTACCTCTTATCACGTGTATCCCTCGTTCTGACTTAGTGACCCTGACCTAACAGGATGTGAAGCCTGAGAAGAAGACAATAGAGAAGCATGAGACAGCCAGCGGCCACACAAGCTTCTCAGCCTTCACTGCACTGACCTGTCTTCAGCACCTGATGTGTTCACCAGCCCCACTCCCTCACAGACCCCCTGACAACACTCCTCGGGCCCTGTAGCAGGAGCAGAGAAACCAAGCAGAGGACTTCCCATGGCTTGCCCTATGAGATCTGCCATGCACTTGGGTTATTTCTCAGCAAAAGTGAAATATAATCTCTGCCACTCGTGTGGCAAAGGTACCTGTGTAGTACTCATTGTTTTATAGAATCTGATATTAAATTAAGATACTTCTTTACCCTATATAGATATTATCTTTATGCTGCATAATGTGTCTTTAGAAAGCACAACACTAAATTCCTAAAACCTTGATACTTCAAGATACCAATTCATGGAAAAGAAAAAAAAAAAAAAAACCTACTTACCTATCTGGAGTGGCCTTTCTTCCTATACTGCAGGTACAATCAACTTTTAACACTACTTCCATAATTTTCAAGAACGGTTAAGTAAAAAAACAAGTTGAAAATAAAGGCCAGAAAGGGGAAATCTGTCAAGTTCTCTTACTTGGTACAAGATACTAAGATATGATTGGTAAATCCAAAACCACCTGTTCTAGAAAGCAATGGAACTTAGAGAAAATGCGAACTTCTTCCTCATCACTGCTCCAGCCTTACAGTAAATAACTTCCTGCACAACTACTATGATCCTGGCACAGTGTCGCTAGGGGCATAACGGTGAATAAAAAGCTAACTGGCTTCATTAAATGAAGAAAATGAAAATATAGCTTTGAAACTCAGAATTCAATATAAGTAGCATCGCCATTTCCCAACCAGTGATTTCTTAACAACTCATCCTTTTCCTTGCCTTTCGATAGCCTCAATGGAGAAATGGTACCAAGGACTCAACCTCAAGTTCATGCCACAAATAAGCAAGCCATCCTTCTGCCTTGGCTCCCACACAACAAAACGAACAACACTGCTATATCCATCAGGGTTCCCTATGACTCTCAATGTGGATGCTAACAGATTCTAGCCTTTTAGATGTGAAAACAAGTCCTCAAACCCCTTGGGAGGAAAGGGTTGTTAAAATTAAGTAAGTCAGTATCTTCTCTGAAATTTTCACATAAAATTTTATTAATAGCAAGATGCAAAAATCACCACCATGTATTTGTTAACCAATAAAAATGGAAATATCACATAGCTCTGCAAGCAGGATCGATAATTATACATACTTGAAAACAAACTACATCCCAGAAGAAACGACGTCACTAAAAGCTACACAAGCCACGAAAGGGCACTACTTCTCTTGATTTAAAAGTTAGCTGCAGGAAGGCGGTGCACTCGATCCTTAGCCCCTTCCACTGTGCCCTCCCACATATAAACTGAGCAAACAGATGACAAGGCTGAACACACTTGCACAACTGCCTCTTACAGCAGCAAGTGGTGTATTTCACTAACTGGATGCAGAGGTTGATAACACAGTGACACCATCTCAGCACTTGGCGATTTCTGAATTTCCAATCCCCCCAGAGCCAGCTCTGTGCCCCTGGCACATTCTGACCTCTCACCTAAGGCTGATGGGTGCAGCACTACTAATGTGCGCTGCCGCCCTGTCCTAAAATCCTCTCGTTTTCCAAAAGCAACAGTCCATATCTGCTCCAAAATCAAGCAAGCCAGATGGGTTAATCTGGCCCATGACTCTACTTTTCTTACATTATCAACTTTCTTCTTCTACTTCATGTCACAATAAATATTTTTATGTTGCAAACTAGACTGTAATATTTGAAGGAACCACCACAAACTCTTAATGTCACCTCATGAAATTTAAAATCCACAAAACAATTGGTGGTTTTCTAAATAGCACCATGAAAAAAAAAAAAAAAAAAACAAGCAAAACCATTCCAAAGGAACTTGCTGATCTGGAGGCCTGCCTATGGCAGCTCGGAAAGAATTATATTGTGCGGGAACCATAATCTCCCAGAGCTTTTGAGCCTAAGAAAGAGGAAATCTGTGTTTATGTTCCCTTTCTCCAAGTAATTGATGGAGGGTTTTACATCCTTCAAAAGGTCGCTTGCTAGAGGCAACTAATTACCAAGTAGATTAGAAGAAAGCTATTAAATAATATATGTTCATTGCCTGGGGTTTTAAGAAAATATTTTCACACGATCCCTGTCTTTAAAATGCAATTGCAACCTTACAGAGAGTGTGCCACCAGGCTAAGCTGCTGTTGAAAAGCCACGTCCCTACCTAGGCAGGTACAAGGCCCATTTAATTCCAAGTCACGGGAGAGAGGTGACAGCCCCAAGTTGCTCTGGGGATGTCACAGCATGGCTCTGGTGCACGCTCCGGATCACCTCTCCCTTCTCCCCAAGGCCATGGGCTTCCAACGCCTGCTCCAGCAGCCCAAACACCCGGGCTTCCCCTTCGCAGCGGGCTCACTCGGCATCGCCTCCTTCCGCCACCGCTTCCCCGGGGCGGGGAAAGCAGCCGAGCCCAAGGACGCGCGCGGGTCTGCTACCTACCTTGATGATGCTGCTCCGGCGGGGCAGGCCGCCCGGCTTGCTGTCCCTGGGGACGGGAGCGGCGGCCGGGCTAGGGGTCCGTGCGAGCGCCACGCCTCGAGGTCCCCTGGCAGGGCTGGCCCGGGCTTCGTCCCCGGACACGCCGAGGCTGCAGTCTCCGTTGGAAACCCCGCCGCTGTCATAGCGCGCCCGCCCGTGGCCGAGGCGACCTCCCCCGCCGCCGCCGCCTTCCCCGGCTCCCGCTCGCAGGGCGCCCTTGGCGCCGAGGGCCGGGCCCGGGGAGGTGGGCAGGGCCTCGCCCGCGGCGCCCCGGCCGCACTCCGCCATGGGCGTCCCGCGACCCGCCTCGCCTGCACAAAGCCGCGTCCCCGCGTCCCCGCCGCCGCCGCCGCCGCCTCCTCGGGCCGCCCCGCGCGGCCCCTCCTCCTCCTCCCGCCGCCGCCGCCGCCTCGGCCGCTTCTTCCGCTTTTTCGTTTCTTTCTTTTTTTTTCCTTTCTCTTTTTGATTTAGATGTGACGCGTGTGGCGAGCTCGCCTGCCGCCCGGAGGACGCCGCGCGGGCGGGCTCAGCTCCGGGGTCCTGCGGGGGTCGGAGGGAGAGAGACCGGGGAGAGAAGGAGTCAGCGCGGGCGGCGGCGCCCCGGCTGCCGGCACCTGGGGACGGAAAACACGCCCCGGCACACACACACACCCGCGCGCCGCTGCGGGCGCCAAAAATAACGCGCGCGCCGCGTCCCCCGGGGCGCCAGGGACACGAGCGCCCGCTCCACGGCGCCCGGAGCGCTGGCGGCACGCGGAGGCGCGGCGCGCGGGGCTCCCGGGCTCCCGGCTCCGCCCAGGCCCCTCGGGGCTCGGCCGAGGCCCAGGGCGGCTTGTGGCGGCCCCCGGGCCCACCGCGACCTACCCGCGGCCGAGCTTCGCGCCGCCCCCTACAGGCCGCGGGGACCCGGCCGGGCTCGGGTCGCGGTCCTTAGGGCTGCGGGCTCCCCGGCCCGGGCCGGTGGGCGCAGGTCGTGCCCCACCGCCAACTGTCAGTCATCCGAAGCCATCCCCCTAGCCGAGGGGACGGCGTGCACGCGGGTGGCGGTGGCGGGCGGACTGGCCGTGCTGGGGCCGTGGGCTCGGCCGCCCGCCGCACCTCGTGTCCAGCCTCAGCTTGGCGCTTGCAACCGGGTCCCTTCGCACTCAGCTGCGGTCAGTGGAGCAGACCCATTTTATGTGCAGGAACAATCCCCCCCCCCCTGCGCGCCCTTGCACTGCTGAACTCAGTGGACGTGGCTGGTTGCCATGATGTGTGGTTGGGGTGCGATGGGTGGCTGGCAGGCTTTGAGAGACAGAAGACATCCACAGATTAGTCGGGACCCTCTGGGTTGTCCTGGATGGGGGGAGTGTTATCATTGTAGTCCCTCCCAGTCTGTATCCTTCCTAATCCTGCCTCCAAGGATGCTTGCTTGTCCAGCCCCTCGCGGGTACCATCCATAGCAGGCACATCTTTTGGGACAGGATCAAACATCAGTGCTATCAACTTGCTGCTCCCACATGTAAATACTTTCCCTAAACCTCCATTCCTGGGGCCCAGGAAGAGGGCAGAGCACTCACTCTGCAGCCTAACAGAAACACTAGCAGAGTGGCAGGACCAAGGCTTGGTACGGTACCAGAGGCTCCACCCATCTCTCCATCCCAGGCACCCTGAGGGCCAGCCTCATGCCTGGGTCTGTCACCCCCTTACAGTTTTTCTCTCCCTGTGCATTTCCTTTTCTGGAAATGCCTTTTCCCGGGCACAGGAGAAACTGAGCCCTCTGGGACTGAACTTAACATGGTGTGGTAGCAAATTGCCAAGCCTCTAAAGGAAACATACCCACCCATGCTCCAGAAGCAACATCAAACTCCTTCCCCTGTTATTCTTGGGGCGTTTCAATTTTTCTGACCCTCTGGCATGTTTTTGCAACCCATTGGACAACTCCAACTGGGCCTACATACTAACATGTTTTTTGTGGATCGACAACGTTTGAATTGTTTTTCAGTCCCAACCCTCCATGCTAACACCTTTCCTAGTTTAGCTTCAAAATCTTTCTTGTGATGGCTTTGCAGGAAAATACTTTCAAAGAACTGTTTCTCATTTGCTTCATCAGATTTGCAGTCACAATAGCCTGAATGCTGTGAGAGAGAGAGCGGCATGCTAACACTGAGCTTCAACAATCACATGATGGGGCCTGCCCCTTCTTTAAACTCTAATTCTCTGCATTTGCCATGTACACCGAGGGTCAAACACCCAGAATGGGTTGCTTTTGTTGTGAGGGTGAGTTATGAAACTACCATCTAATTCGCCCTCCTAACGCCCTCCAAAGGGAACACCTATCTTTTTCATTCTAGATTCCCAACAGAACATATCAGGAAGATTTCGTTGAAATAAACTTGGCATTTAAATTAAAATGTTCCCCAAAGCATCTTGGCAGAGCTGTAACTAATGATGGCAAAGGTCTGTGCCAGGTTTGGACTCATCTTGGACCGAAGTGCTTGTCTCCCACAAGCCACCGTTCACTCTCATCAGAGAGGTACTTGTTCCCAAACAGCCAACCTGTAGGACATTTACAAGGCAACAGGAAAAGCCGTGTTCCTGTGACATGCGATTCTTGGCTCCCTACATGTTTCTCAAGCTCAACTACCACTGTTTTCTTCATCACAAACAGTGCAGTAAGCAAGTATTTCTCCTCCTTCTTCCCTGTGCCTCTACAGCTACTAAGGGATTGCTTCCCATCACTCCTCTTCCGTGAGCAATGTTATTAAAGGAATTGTAAATATTATGCCAAAATCCTTGCTGAAGTGTTTCACGGCATTGTAAAATTCATAGAAGTTAGAGCTAGAAAAGGAGCCAAAATACAGTCATTCAACAAATACTGTTAGTGTTGCCTTTCGACTAATTTTCAGAGCAAAGCAATAAAATATGCTCGTGTTGTTGATACATTTGCTCTTCTGGATAACTCTAAGGTGTTGGTGCCCGTTTATGGCATTCATACAGTGGTTGAATTCTGATAAGCAGTTTGTCCATGATTAGAGTCAACCAATACCTTTATCATCTGGTTCTAACATGATGGCCATTCACATCTTTGTCTCTCTTAGGCTTTCTTCGTATTTCAGTCACCTCAGCTTTTAATTGTTGCCATTCTTCACCAAAGTGTCCTCCATTTGTTGCATGATTAATTTGATACCTAGACCCGAGCTATTCAGGGTCCCTGCTACATAATAAACATTCAGTCTCCCCAGATGACCCTGATGCTGTTTACAGACTTCGCTCTGTCACTTACATGCCTGTAGGTTATGAATTCGGATCTGGTTTCCAGTTCACAGGCTCTAATATTACAACTCCAGATTTGTCTGACTCACTGAGCTCTTGGATTCCTCATCATTTCTCCTCAACGTAGTATGACAACTTTGACTTCCCAAGCCTCACTCTCATCCATTTCCTATGTTTCTCTAAAGATGCAGTGCAACTTCAGGGCCTGCCTTCATAGTTTACTGCTCCCCACATGCTTAGTGTGAGCGCTAACTGGAACAGAAAATATAAAATGCTTTAAGGAAGCAGCAGCTTTCATCGAAGGACTGGTGCACACCAGGTGCCCATTTGCTCTCTGGGTCAATCCATGGTTTTCATTTTCATCTATTATGCCCCTGAAACTTATATTGTCTTTATTTTATCATCGTCCTTAACAACAAAAACTATGCAATGATGCTGGCCGTGGTGGCACATGCCTTTAATCCCAGCCCTTGGAAGGCAGAGACAAGCAGATCTCTGTAAGTTCAAGACTAGCCTGTTCCAGGACAGACTCCAAAGCTACACAGAGAAACCCTGTTTTGAAAAAAAGAAGGAGGAGGAGAAGGGGGAGGAAAAGAAGAAGAAGAGGGAGAAGAAGAAGAACAACAACAACAACAACTATATACTGATCCTTTCTTTCTGGGCACTTATGTGGCAAGTTAGACCTGCCAAAACTTTTCATTCCCATATTCTTACTCTCTTTGGGCACTAAAGGACCTTCAACCACTTTCCTTGGATCTGTCTTCTACAAGTACATGTGGCTGCCAAGAAAGTGCACTCAGAGAATTGCACCAATGCTTTTCAGTCAGAGAGAAACCCATGTCGTGAATTCATTAAGTTTTCTCAGTGGCTATTGAATCGGGTAGCTCTTTGAGGTAATCTATTAATTACTAGGGATCCAATAAAATTATTCTATTAAAAAAGTAGCAATATGATAGATAGGCTAATACAATTCAACCCAAAGGTACCTGTTATTTATCAAACTATGTGTTTTTTAAATTCTCTTTTGTATACTTGAGTGCTTTTATGTCAATTATTTTATTACAGGAGTCATTGGTCATTAAAAACACAAATGTCTGTGTGGCCTATGGGTAATGAAAACTCCCTAGTGTATTTGTTTCATAGAATTCTAGAATTTATAGTTTTCAACAATGATACACTTTGCTTATAAAATACAGAGGAATATCCTGCCTGATTCAGCTATGGTTTTCCAATTTCCATAGGTCCTTGACACAAGAAACTCCACCCACAAATGGCGTTTGGCAAGAATTTCCATGTGAAGCCTGACAAAAACTTAAAAAGGGTTCTGAATACACGGGAATGGAGCGACACTGGGATTCCTAGTCTCACAGTGTCTTGCAGCCCATGGTGCAGAGATCAGGGCAGGGCTTGAACAGACTTAGCTTTCACTCATACAGACAAAAAAGGGTTATAGGCAGTGTGCTACAAGCTGCTTGATGCATCGACAAAAGTCTAGGAGGTGAGCACAGCTCCCAGAGCTGGTGGAAGGCATACTAACACCGTTTTGGAAAGATGAACTGGGTGTAGCCAGCAGCCAGCTGCTGCTTTAATCTTACTCATGCTGCTTAGCAGATTAAAGACTCATGTGGTCAGAAAAAGATACACAGCAAAGACAGATTCAGAGAGACACAACCTCTAAACAGTATACACTGTGTTTAAAAATATACATAGGTTTGGGAGAGAAAAGAAAAAGGATAAATCATCTAAAAAAAAAAAAAAAAAAAAAACAAAAACTGTCCCAAGTAAATTGGCCTATTGGTATATCACATTTACAACAGGATAAAATTTCATATATCTTCCTAAATGTTTGTTTCTTTTTTCTATATACAAATATAATATGAATGGTCTTTATGTTGTCCCAGTCCAATTAAAGATTAAAAGCTGGCTTTGTAGTTGGATTGTGGCTCCCTCCTTCGCTAAACCCAAGCATGGTTTTTAAATTAAAATCCAAAATCTCTGTCTCATGTCAGAAGAGCCACTTGATATGGAACAACAGGAAAGTAAGTACTTAGGAATATTGTATTGCTACTAATCTCATAGCTTTCCTCATGATATTAATG